AACATCTGGTCTCCTCAGGTCCTCTAAAACCTCCAACATCTGGTCTCTTCAGGTCCTCTAAAACCTCCAACATCTGGTCTCCTCAGGTCCTCTAAAACCTCCAACATTTCGTCTCCTCAGGTCCTCTAAAACCTACAACATCTGGTCTCCTCAGGTCCTCTAAAACCTACAACATCTGGTCTCCTCAGGTCCTTTAAAACCTCCAACATTTGGTCTCCTCAGGTCCTCTAAAACCTCCAACATTTGGTCTCCTCAGGTCCTCTAAAACCTCCAACATCTGGTCTCCTCAGGTCCTGGACGTTTACAGACCAGTGTTTAAAGAAAAGGAGATGTGTTGTTGCTACATTAAGATTGTTTTATTTTATTTTTTTAATTGTCCATAAAAAAAACAAAATAAAAAAAACGTTTGATATGTTAATTATGTTTCACTGTGAATAAAATACGGGTCACTGATCACTGAATTCATTTTTTTAAGTATATTTTACACATCTCAAAGTTTCAGGATTAGTTTAGTAAAACACATCAACGCGGCAGTGACGTGTATTCCCAGCAGGACACGTGCGCACATTTTAATCCACACCATCACCTGATGAAGGCATTTCCCTGCGAGATGAATTAATCTCGTGCGGGTGGGGAGGCGAATTTATTTGTTTTTTACTTTCCAACAGAACCCCCCAATTCCCTGACGCGTCAGAGCGCTGCGTAAAACCAACGTGCGCCTCCAGTTTCTCCCCAGGTGCGTTTCACGCGTCCGTGTTCAGACTTGTGCACTTCAATTTATTTAAGTATCGATCCGGGACCTTGTAATCAACGAGGTCGCGGAGCAGACTCTGCTGATCTCAGCACGCGCACGTTAAAGACCGAGCAGTGGACAAAGGAGGAAATCTTTCATGTTGGGCAGTTTCTGTTGAGCACCAGAATGCGGTTCCTCCTCCTGAGAGCCTCCTCACACACAGGAGGAGGCACACATCAATATTCAGCTCCTGATGCGGGCAGTAAAAACGGAGGAGGAGCGCCACATGTTCCACATGTTCCCTCTCATTCTCTCCACTTGAGAGAGACTGCACTCCGATCAGGTTCTCTCGAGCTTCAAAAAACAAACCTTCATTCTGAGGCTTTGGAAGAGGCGCGTTTGGAAGCGGGGTTCTGTTGGAAAGTAAAGAACAAATAATATCTTACCTGTTGCAGATAAAACCCTTTGAGCCATCTCAGCTTTGACAAAGGAAGTTTGGTGCTTTATTCTAAAGCAGAAGGTCAGTTTGCCTCCAAAGCAGCATCCGCTGGTCCGAGCCGGACCCCTCCAGGGGTTCAGGTCCATAATGATCAGTCTGTGAAGCTCACTGAATAATGCAGAGCTTTCTAATAGAACCCACTTTGCAGTGAGACAGATAAGAAGTGTTTCACTTTCTGGCTCCAAGCGGATGCTTATTTATCCGGAGTGTGTGAGAGCGCGCAGCGGGGAGAACATTCAGGTCTGGTGAGGAGGTTTTTCTGAAAAACTCACAGTCCTGAACAGAACCAGAGGAGTCTGTTGGATCTGGTTCTCAGTTTGGACAAAGTCTCTAAGGATCATTAGGTACCCTGCTCTGTCCAGGTCCCCCCCCGCCCTCTTCACCTCTGATCTCTAAAGACAGATAACTGAAGCTTCGCCTCCATTTCTCCGCTCCAACCATCTCTGCTCAGACGATGACGGGGAGACCGGAGGGGGTTGTCTAACGGGACTCCTGCGCTGCAGAGTAATCTGCTGCTCTGCAGGTGTTCCCACCCGGGACCCCACGAGGCTGATGGAGCCGCTCGCCATCAGCTCCATGCAGAAACACACAAACTGTAAAAACAAAGGTTTGAGCTAACACACCAGAGTTGAGGTCATTTTCTGTGACACTGGAAGTGTAGCTCTTGTTTCCTAAGGTTAGCTGTGGAAGTGTTGTCTGGCTGTTATTTCCTTCCTGTCTGAGGAGGAAATGATCTGTTTCACACTCAGATGGTTTGATTCAAGTTCAGTCCCAATAAAACCCAAAGTGGTTTAAATATCACAGTGTGAATGTTTACGAAGCATTCACACTGTGATACATTTTTCTTTCGCGTGTTTTTTTGGAATTTTTCTTGTTCCACAATTTTTGTGATATTTCAACAAATCGTATCAAAACATTCAGCTCATAGAACAATCTGGCTTTTGGTGTTGTTGCAACTTTAACTCTTTTAAATATTTAGCCTTTCCTGCCGCTGTTTTTTCCTCATAGAAAATGAATTGAGCTCATTTTGCATCCTTCAAATCTTTAGATCTGTTTACAACCTTTATTTTGTTCTGCTTCAGCTTCTTTCAGCTTCCTTGTGCAAATGTAAACTTTTTTCAGCTACTTTCAGCTGTTTTTCAGCTGTTTTGTGCTTTTTCTAACTTCTTTCTGCTAATTTCAGCTTGTTTTGCTCCTTTCAGCTTATTTCTGCAAGTTTTAGCTTTTTCTACTATTTCAGCTACTATTTAACTGTTTTATGCTAATTTTAGATTTTTCATCTAATTTGACATTTTTTGGAGTGATTTATTTTTTCATCCTAATTCAGCTAAAATGTGCTTCTCCACTTCCTTCCGGTAATTTAAGCTTCTTTCCACATTGTTAGCTACTTTTCAGCTGTTTTTTTTTTGTTTTTTTTTTTGGCAAATTTAATCTTTTGTGCTAATTTCTGCTTCTTTTAGCTTAATTGTACAAAAGTTTTAGCTGCTTTTTTCTGCTAATTTAAGCTTGTTCTACCTGTTCAGCTATCTTTTTTTTTTTTTTACATTTTCTGGCTAATTTAAGCTGTTTTCATATAAATTAAATTGTCTGTGGCAATTTTTGCTACTTTCATCCTAATTAACTTTTCTGTTATTTTCAGCTTGTTATGCTCATTTCAGCTTTATTTTGCTAGTTTCAGCTTTTTGTGATTTATCAGCTACAATTTAGCTTTTTTGTGCTAATTTTAGATTTTTTTTCAGCTATTCCACTTTTTTTTAGCTCATTTCAGCTCTTTTCACTTCCTTCTGGTAGTTTAAGCTCATTTCTGCCTCTTTTAACCTATTTCATCAAATATGTGTTCTTTCTGCTTTCTTCTGCTAATGTTGTTCTTTCATTTCAGCTTCATTTTCAGCATTTTTTAAGCTAATTTCAGCTGTTTTTCAACAAGTTCTTTTGTAATGAGCATTCAAACTGCATTTTCGCAGGA